AAACAAAACAAAACAAAACAAAGAAAGAAGCAAAATCTTTCCAAGTCCTATTTTCAAGACTTTATCACTGAAGATGGTGGTAAAGCCCAGACATTTGTGGTTTTCCTCGCAAAGAATATCCTTGCTGTAGACTGAACATTGTGTCTGCAGTTCACAAATCATATATTGCAATCCTAACTTCCAGTATGATGATGATATTAGGAGATGGGGCCTTTGGAGAGCTAATTAGATCATGAGAGTAGAACCTTTATAAATGTGATTAGCATCCTTATGTAAGAATTCTCATAGAGTCCTCACCCCTCCCACTGTGTGGAGATGCAGTGAGAAGGTGGCATCCATCTATGAGTGAAGAACTGGGCCTCCTCCAGACACCAAATTTACTAGCACTGTATCTCACTTCATGACTTCCAGATCCATAAGAAATACATTTCTATTTTGTATAAGCCCTATCTATAGTGTTTCCTTATTGGAGCCCAGATGGATTAAGATGCACAATACACCCCTTTCCCCCACTTAGGCAATTCTGACTTACAGAAACTCTGCTCTAGGATTTGTAGAATGCTCACAATGCCTGGCTGACTCAAATGCAAAATGTTCTTATAAAGACCAAAAATAGAAATGCATACTCCTCGACCTCCTTTGGATGTGCGATTTGCATAGTTATAGCACCTTTTTCATCAAGGGCAAATGAGAACCAAATGAATTTTTACTGTGGCCCTGAAAGAATATCTTCTGGTGGTAAGAGAGAGGAGCCAGAGTGCCATAGGGAAATTCATGCCAGCCGCAAGACACCTGGCATTTGACTTCTGTTCCATAGCCACACAACTGTGGAATGTTATTTAGAATTTCTAGATCTACCCCCCCCCTTTTTTTCTGTAAAATGCCTTGCTTAGTCCATGTTTCAGGGCTACCATGCTTACACGAAATAAACAATCTTCCAAAAAGGACACTCTTGATGATAAGGATGGACAACAGAGATTGATAGTCATTGAAAGGCCAGCCACCTCCTGTACCTGTTAGAACCTAACAAAGAAAGCAGAAAAGAGAGAATTCAAGTGTTTTCAACAGGGAATTCAATGTGAGGAATGAGCCCATGACATGGGAGGGACTTCAAAAGCCAAACTGGTGATGAGATATCTCAAAGGTTAATAACAGTAGGTAGTGAACAGAAGTTGCAGGCTGCTGCTAAGAAAAACACAGTGGGAAATGTTACCAGTGTTCCCGATGGGCAGTTGTGGAAGGAGCTGGAACCATGGAAGGAAAGTAATAGTTGTTGGAGGTGTGCTCAGGGCAGAGACAGAGCAGAGAAGCCCTCTGGCTTCTTACTTCCTCCATCCAGTTTCCTACCAGGGCTCCAGCTGGTGCCTCCATAGAGCCTTTCAGTTCTGTAGGACACTGTCTCCTCGTATACAATATAACTGTCAAACAGAGGCTGGCTCCATTCGCTCTTCCCTGCAAGGGTCTACTGCCCAGCAAACAGACAGAAGTCACTGGCACCACTTTATCTAGAACTTTCTATTGATTGAGCACTATCAGGTACTATGTTGTCATGTGTACTGTTATGCTTAGAGACCATTTCCAACTGAAGAGAGATAATGGAATTCTAATGTCGTGAGTAAGCTAATACATACAAAGTAGAAATCTTAGCTATGAAGCCCAGAGTATTATTAATTACTTAGCTGCTATTTGTCCAGGTGAAGCTTAGGCAAAACTTGGATAATTTCCCTACAAATACTCCTTTGCCTCTGCAGACAAAGAAAAATAGTATAGGCCAAGGGTTCAGGCAAGATCTTGATTTGGTGCCATTTCTTTTCTCAGGAGATAGAGACCCAGACCTATGCAATCTATCTCATAGACTTTCTGTTTGTTTGATTTTTAGACTCATTAAGTGTTGATAAGCTATAGGATGGAGTGTGGCACCTGTGGTAGTTGATATTGTAGGCACCACAGCATCTAGAATCATCTGGACACAAGCTCCAGGATTGCCTGTGAGGGATTGTCTACATTAGGTTAACCTCTAGGCCAATCTGTGAAGGATAATCTGTGAGGGTGGGAAGACCCACTTTGAATGTAACTGGTGTCATTCCATGGACTGATGTTCCAGACTGCATAAAAAACCGAGAAGGTTAGCTGAGCCCAGTGTTCGTTGTCCTCTGCTTCCTGACTGTCCAAGCAGTGTGACTGACTGCCTCATGTGATTGATGCCTTCCGTGCCATGATGGACTTCCCTCTGAACTGTGAGCCAAAAATAAAAGACTTTCTTAAATGGCTTTTGACAGTGTATTTCATCACACCAGCAAAAAGGAACTAAGACCTTTGGTAGGTGTGTGTGATTTGGACTTCTTTGATTTTAGATCTGCTTACCCTTTCTCTCCATGGAACATCCTTTTCCTTGAATACCCCCAAGACATCAGCATCAGAGAATCAGAAGTTATTATTGTCTGTCACTCCCTAAATCAGCCTGGCTAGGGGGTCAGTCCTCTCCCTCTGGGTTTGATGTCTGAGCTTGCAGTTCAGGGCTCTTTATCTAGTAAGTGGTGAGTAACCAGGGAGCATATGAGACTTGCCTACTTTCATAAGCCAGCTTGCAATCTGAGGTAAGGATGGGTGATTACATAGTGTGTGACTCAAAGACCACAGGCTCTGGCATCTGGCATTGTGTGTTCACGAAAGGGCTGTGTTCCTTGGACACCATCTCAGACTCATGATTCAAACTCTCTCAAGGTGAGCTCAGGATTCTGTTTCCTGTTTCTCAGAATATAGTCTCGTGGGAACTTATTAAAGGAGAATGAATGAAAACAGTGTCACTGTGTGCCTTCTCTTGTGGAGGTCAGCTTAAGTTGCTTCCAGTTGTTCATTTTCTGAGCTGGGAAGTGATGACTACCTTTGCACTATCGCACTGGGAGCCTGTGATGACATTTCCCAGGGCTTGTATCTGTTGGCAGATTTCTCTGGGTCACAGGCATGTGTATCCTCCTCATTACCAGATATTAACAAACCACTTTTATGCTACTCTAGTTATCAGTGAGGTGAAGTCTCTTTTTAAAGTTGTTTAATGTTGCTAATTCTTTTTTTTTTTCTCGATTGGTTGACGGATTTATTTCAGTGCTTGTAAGTACACCTGAGCCGTCAAAGAATTAACATGGAAAATGTATCATAGTTTTCCCAAAACATGTTTGCAAGGGCATTAATTTGCAGGTTGAATTGGGAATTCCCACAGTTATCTCAGACGTGGGGAGAAGCCTGTCTATTAGGGCCTATGCTGGGCATATTTTCATCCCCTTGTTTGTATTGTCACAGAACTTCAAGGAAAGGAGTTTTAAAACTTGACTCAGAAACCTCGAAATCTTTGAGAGGAGACCCAATGAAAAAGATATTGGCACATTTATTTAACTCATTTGGTACCACAAAGTCTTGAGTGAGTTTTAGCTAGTGGTGCTAGAACAGGAAATGTTTCATGAGACTCATTATAAGAGAGCAATTCAAGATACATATGAATGTTAACAGTTGAAAAGTAAATACATGCTCCTATTTATATATATGCATAAATGTTTAAAGGACATACAAAAAAAACTTAAAACCCATCTGCTTTTCTCCTGAGAAAGGGTCTCATCTACCCCAGGCTAGCCTTAAACTTGATAGGCAGGTTGAAATGACTTTGAACTTCTGGTCCTCCTGAGTGCTGGGATTGCAGATTTGCAACGTCATGGCTGCTTTATGATGCTTGTTGGTAAATTACCTTTAAAAATGCATTTTAAAGCAATGCTTTCACATTGCAAGAATCTATTTTTCTTTTTACATGTGCTTACCTCAATAAAGCAATTTTCATTTGAATGAAAGAGAGAGAGAGAGAGAGAGAGAGAGAGAGAGAGAGAGAGAGAGAGAGAGTTGTTGAACGTTTGTGCTTTATGTATTTGGCCATCCTGAAAATGACTGCTCAGCCTTGGAAGGCACAGGGTATTCTGCAAGCTGGACATACAGGTGGTGAGTCCTTAGAAAATCCCTGCTTTACCCCTGGTAATGGATGATCACACCTAAAGATCAGGGTCATTCATGCAGTCTAATTGTTTTAATCCACAATCTATTGTGGATTCTGATGATTGATCTGCTTGCTTTTTCAGCCTTCCTTTCCTAGGTTTGTGACCAGAATCTTTGCCTAACCTCCAGTCTTGAGCTCTCCTAGGAGTGATTGGCATCTGCCATTAGAAATGCAGATGTGAGGAAGGCACAGAAAGATGCAAAGCCAGTAGGCAACACCGTCATCAGATATGAAATGGACGAGCTGGGCAGAGCCTGCCCCTTCTCCCCAGTCTGCCACCACTGAAGTATTGCCCACACTTCTTAAATGGGTCACTTCCCAGCCCACCCATCTTCTCTCTCAGTTTTCTCATCGAGTCCACACGTGTATCTTCCCCTTTACAAAATAACTTGTCTTTTTTTCTCTAATCAGCTCAGAGTCACTACCACTTAAAGGAAATACCCGCAAGGTTTCTTTCTTTCTTTTCCTTCCTTCCTTCCTTCCTTCCTTCCTTCCTTCCTTCCTTCCTTTCTTCCCTCCCTCCCTCCCTCTTCCCTTTTCTCTTCCTTCTTTCTCTTCTTCACTGCCCCCACTCCCCCTCTTGCAGGCAGACACTCTTATATGGTAATGTATTCTGAGGGTATACCCCTCAGTCCCAGGCTGGCTGTTGCTAGTTGTTTTTTCTTTAGCTGGTCCTGATATGATCTTAAGGGCAGCATGGTTTTCAAATGCAATTCTCCTTTCCATTGCTCCTCGTCCATTTTCACTCACCATTATTCTGTGACTGGCTTTCCCTAGAGTCTAGAATAGCCAATGGTAGAGACAGAAGAGCCTAGAACAGTGATGGGGCAAGCTGTAGAGACTGAGGGCTTCTGGGAACGGGAGTGGATTGCTGCTTTACAGGACGGGCACTGCAAGAAGATACAGTTCAGTGCTAAGAGTCTGTGGCAATCGTTTTCCCTACAGAAACCCACTCACACTATTGCATCTTTAAAAGTATTTCTGATTAGCATTTATTCGTTTTACATAATGGATTTCATTATGACACTTTCACACACGTATATAATGTGTTTTGACAAATTCATCTTCTATTACCCTCTCTTATATCCTCCTGATCCCCTAATTCCCTTATATATTCATGTCCTTGTGTGTGTGTGTGTGTGTGTGTGTGTGTGTGTGTTTGTGTGGTTAGAGTTGTTTATAGGCACATGGATGAGGAATTATATGTGGACATTTTACCCTTGGTTACACCACTGAAAAAAGTGTCTCCAGTCCCTACCAATCATGCCTTTAGATCTTGGTGAAGGGTTTGAGTCTTTCCCCTTGGCTACCATTCACTGTAAATCCTCAGACTTGGTGAGCTCCTCCCCGCTCCATGACAGAATGTGAGAGTCCAATCTTATGCAGGTGATCACAGGTGCTGAGTTCACGAGTCCAAAGGCTGTGTCATGATCAGAATCCGGCACTCCACAGCACCGTCCTTTTTCCTGCGGTTTTTCCACTCCTTCCACAGTGTTTTCCAGGCTTTGGAAAGGATCAGATAGATGTCTCACTTATGGCTGAGTTTTCAACCGCAGCTTATTCTTTTGAGCAGTACAAGTCTCAGTAGTAACCACTCCTGCTGCAAACATGCATCTGATCAAGTTGGCAGCAGCACTGACCTATAGGCATGGACACAGTTATTTAGAAGGCAGTCTGATGATCACATCACGTAGCAAAACAACAGCAGCTTCCCCACTGGGGCCTATGACCTCTCCAGCCACTGGGTTTTGACTGGGTTCACAGTAACCAGACACAGAGATATTTTCCTGGGGAGCAGGCTTCAAATACAAGCAGAAAGTACTTAATAGACTTGCAGTGATTGCAGCAGTAGGCACATCTTACCTGTTGGGTCAGTAGTGTAGCACACAGGGTCCATAGATAAAGACGATTGTTGATAACTTTTTTTTCCCTCCTTGTCTCCTAGTCCCGCCTCTCTTGCTTCCCTATTGGCCAACAGTGAAATTATTTAACTGAGCTAAGGTTCTTTGTGGTCAATGGTCCAAGTCAGTGGTAACAAATATTTACTGAGGTCTTCTTAAGACCTAGATTCTGTGCTGGGTTGTGGGGGTAGGGGTAAGACTAACACAGAGAAAGGTCTGTTCATTCCTACTGTCACGTATCAGGGTTTTAAAGGGATAAGATAAACACGTAAATGCTGTTCCCTGTACACAGACGTGCACGGAACAGGCTATGCTGGAGTTGGAAGAACAGTCATTAAAGGAGAACTAGATTGTCCACAGGCAGCAGCTGCTCAGACATAGAGCTGAGTGTAGGGATGGAAAGTCCCAGACTTAAGATTTTGCATCTACTTAAAGTTTCATTCAGAGTTGTCAAACTAGTTACAACAGTGGCTATAATCCACACTACTCAGTAGAGGCACAATAAAGTATTCCCTTTTTATTCGACTTGTTTCTATTTTCCTGTCCTCATTCAAACTTGTATCTAAGCAGATCCCATCTCTGCCTCCTCTGTTAGCATTATTTAGAGCATGGCTTGGCAAATATTTGCTGGAAAGGGCCAGAGGGACATATTCTCAACTTCCCAGACTGCACAGTGTCTGTTTTGAACTCTGCTATTGTAATGTAAAGTGCCCACAGAGAACACACAATCCCACACTGCTTTTGCATCTGTATAACTTGGGGTTTGGATGCTGGAATTCGAATTTTCTATGATTTTTCACATTTGCTAGTATTATTCTTTCGTGGATTTTTTGTCACTTAAAATGTAAACTATATTCTTAGTTCAACAGCTGTAGAAAATAGACAGCAGGCTATATTTGGGCAAAGAGCTATAGTTGGTGGATCTCTGATTTAGAATTATAGTTCTCATTGCAGTGAAGCCCTTTGAACATGCAAGGAAGGTTGCTCACTCATTCATTTACCCATTCTACAGAGGTTTTTAGGTTTTCTAGGCTCCAGGGATTCTTTCTGGCAGTCACTATAGCTGCAGCTGTGACCATCACAAAGTCCTGTCCTCAGGGAGCTTAAATGTCGTACACTAAATTAACAAGTGAGAGGAGTCTTTTTTGAAACACTTTTTATTATAGATTTAAATTTAGAAAGAAGCATGCTTCCCATGTCAGTCCCAGCTCCCTCTCTCTCCCCTCCACCAGCCCCCAAGTTCTTTATTGTTAGTGCATAAAAAGGCACTACAGGGAAGGGGGGCTGGGTTGCTGAGCGGCTGCTGCGCATCCCGCCTGGAAAGTCAGGGAAGGTCTGCTTGAGGGTGGCACAGGGAGCACGGATGCCTGGAATATGTGAGAGCGGCCTCGGGCAGAGCCAAGACAAATAAGGTCGAGAGGACAGCATGGGGGAAGACCCTGGGCGGGAAAGGAACCATGTAGGCATGGGCCCTGTGACCCAGGCCCAGGCTGGAGGAGGGGCACTAGAGGGTCTCCTGTGTCCTACTTTTTCTTCTTTACTGAAAGCAAGAGAACAAACAGGAAGAAAGCAAGGCAGTTTTTGAGGAAAGGAGCTCCCCTGGTCTTCTTTTGTGGCTCACTGAGATGGACCTTGCTACAAAGTGCCTGCTTCCCACCTTCAGGAGCCACCCGCAAAAAGAGTGACAACCTGGTGGAGATATCCAAGGGCAAGGTTTGTGCACAAGTCTCCCAGAGACTGGATCTTCTCTTCCACATCCTGGTCATTGTCCCTTGACTCCACCCTCCCAACACACAAGGAACCATTACTTGCAGACCCCATCCTTTGGATCTTCCCTGTAACCTCTGCCCTTCGGCACTGTGCAGCCCTCAAGGGCTGTGGTCCCCAGGGCTGTGCCTGGGATCCTCCGGGTCTTGCAAAGAGAACCTGGTCTGAGTCAGACTCTCTAACCCAGTGGCCACCTGTGCTCCTGGGGAGCTCCGGGGAGGCTGGGAAACTTTCAGAGAGCTGTTAATCACTAACTAGTTGGAGATAAGAAAAAGAGAATGAAACAATTGAGAAAATGCCCAACCCAGAGCTTAGTGAGTCCCTGCCCACACATGCCAGGACCTGGCATGCCAGGAAAAGTCCCAGGATCAAACTGAGGTTTTTCAGTGGGGAGAAGGCATGCCAGTCCCTGGGGGCTACAGAACCCTGGCTGATAGGCGGATAGCAATCAGTGACCTTCCGCTAGGACCCTTTGCTTTCAGCTAAGACTCAACCCCAAGGAACAAACAAGGCCAGTTGTTGATGCTGCTCTGTACAGGGCTTGGAAACTCTGGACAGGTCAGACAGCTGCCTGCCCTTACTAGTTCATGCTGAAAAGAAATCAGACTGAATACCTGTGTGTAGTCTAGGCCAACAAGGTAGGAAGACAGACAGGCTGAAGTCAAAGAGGTCAGGCGAGGGGCCTCCACAACCCATAATCCTGGTCTTTAATGGTTTGCTCATGTCAGGCAAGCCTAGGAGCTTCCTTTCTATTATCCCCAGCTTCATAACTGACCTGTGTTCAAGGGATTAACCTCACTTTACAACTGGAGAATTCAGTGGCTTGTTTCAGGTCACCCTGCTGCTGAATCCCAGAGTTGACATCCCAGCTCAGGTCCCCCTGACCTCAAAACCACAGAACTGTCCCTTCAACTGCCCCTTTCCCATGGCCAGTGTCCAAAATGCTCCAACAAGAGTGTTTTGCTTTCAGCCAGAGACTTGAATTCTGGAGAAAACAAAAATCCCAGACCTCTATCCAAGTACTGACAACCATTCATGCCTTGCTATGAATGATAGCCACTTGAGGGAAGTCGATGAGTGACAAGGAAAATTGAGAGGGTACTGAAAGCATAGAGACACATGTTCTCTCGGGGAAAGGGATCCCAGCACACCCCCTGCTCCTGCCTGCGTTTCCTGTAACATTTTACCAATCTGATAACCTCATGGGGCTTTTAATTTATCTCTGTGAACTCGCCGATAAGTGTCCCTACCTTCTTGCTGATGCTATCAGCTGGGCTTAGTAAAGTTACTATTACCTTCTGTCTTTTCAGAAAATTGTAGATAAAACCTGCTCCCCTCTGCTCAGAAGGGATTTTAGGGGGAAAGTACCCTAATGTAAGCTGGCATGGCCTGGGGGCACCTTCCTCTGATCTTTCCACAGCAGCTGCTGCAAAGTGCTCTGTGCTGTGCTGACCATGGTTCGATCTCATGATCTGTTGGAAGCATTTCTGAGTGCTCACTGTGTGGCAAATGAGACTAGACAAAACACTTAATATGTGGGATCTTATTTAAAACTGCCCATAACCTTGCATATCCAGGTTTAAGCAATGAACTCCAGCCTACATGGCAGGAAAGAAGAGTTAGTTGTTCAATCTGTCGGGGGCCCGTAAAGATTCACTCTAAAAGTCAGAGAGTTCCACTCCATTCTGACTAAAGGTCAGAGAGTTCAAAAATGTCCTTATAACTTTAAGTCTGTAGCTTGGTGGCTACAGGATGTTTTGGCTTTGGTAGTGGATGTCTCTAAATAACAACAGACTTGGGCCCAGGTGCATTTACTCTTGACCCTGAAGGCCAGATGGCAGGTGTGTCTACCAATTACCTGGAGGATTTAGGGAACTAAGTCTCTTTGCCCCTTATACGTGATAATAGAAGTCGTCTGCCACTGTCCCCACTTTTGGTTGGATACTTAAGTGTGTTGAAGAATAAACTAAGGGTGCATTCAGAATCAACCGAATCTGCCCTCCTGACAAGTATCCTGTGTCTCTGTCTCGTCTCTTAATCCCTTTCATTAGCTTTTCTTTATACACATTCCCCCTCTCAGGTATGAACCATGGGCTGCCCAGCTGGTTCCAACTGCAGCCCCGAGAAGACAGCTTCCCACATGAATCCACACACACTGACTCCTGAGAGAGCTTTGCACCATTCAAGCAATGCTCTAAAAGTAGCATCTTGTGTATAACATAAGAGCCTGATCAAAAGGGCTTCAATCTGCAAATTTAATAAGACCCCAGGCGACAGGTGTGCACTTTGCAATTTGAGGAGCACCACCCTTCTTGGACAACCCAACTCTGTTTCTGGTGGGTTCCTACACTATTGTATTCAACCAACCAGACATGGGGCCTATGAACACTGGGCCAGACAACTGGTGTAGGTCAAGGGACAGTCATCCTTATGGGAACTTTTGACTCTGTGCTTTATAGGAGAGTGTGGGGATTGGGGCCAGGTGGTGAGAGAACTTGGATCCAAACCCTGGCAATGCCACTCACTGGCTGAGCCACCAGCAATTCCTGAGTTCTGGGTTCTCATCTGTGGAACCAAGCAGGTAAGCCATCATGTGCCCGGCACACAGTGTGTTTCATGAACACAGGACAGGCATCTATATGGTAGGCTCTCAGGGGGGATTTGCTGAAAAAGTAAACCGAAAATTGGTGATCTGTCTGGTCATCTTCCATAAGGAGACAGCCCCCACATCCAGATAGAGGTGTCAGAGAAACGCAGGTCTTCTGACATCCTCTTAGCCTGACAATGGCCTAGATTGTCTCTTTCTAACTTCCTGCTAGATCTCCCTGGTTTATTTTATTTGGTGAGCAGCTGTTGCACTCCTGTGGTCACTCAGCAAATTGTGGGGTCTCCAGGGCAGGTGAGTGTTGAGGAATTATCTGAATCCCAATCTCTGGCATGGGAGCCTCACATGTTAAAGGGAAAGAGGTAAA